GCATTCCTGACATGGCTACGGAAGAAATCAAATTTCCGTCGTGTCCTGAATTTCAAAGCTGCCAATGGGTGTACTTTGAATTACGAACTAGTAGATATTTATCACTTTAAAACGAGATACTATACAACGATTAAGATTCCTCCGTTTCTTCGATCTGTAATAGATTATTCGAAGTATTTCGCGTTTTCCATCTCGGTATCTTTGTCGCAGATTCTGCGTTCATAACTCGTCGCAAGCAGCTATGTACCTCCCTCAGGAATGGAATCCGGTCGTTCTCCAATCTCTGTGCAGGCAACTCTCTGGGTAAGGGTAACTGCGCTCGGCGGGAGAATGGAACCACGCGACGCCGAAATTCCAGTAGTTGTACGTGCGGGAGTGTCGTAAAAAGTGTAGAGACGCGCGCGCGTGTCACGCGGCATTCGAGCCCCATCGTGCAAAGAGAAGAGGTAGGGGGAAGGAGGGAGTGAAAACGTCCGAGGATGTAATTGAATCCGACGGTGGCGAGCTGTTAGCGGGCGACGAGCGGACATAATGAGCGACCGGATGTTTCGCGGACATGGGAACGGCACGGCCAACGAAATAGAACGGAACTGGCGAGCGCGCGAACGTCTGAGGGGAATTACCGCAGGAACACCGCCTCGTTTGAAAACAGACCGAGAGAGAGAGAGAGAGAGAGAGAGAGAGAGAGAGACACGCGGGAAGGGACAATTTATCGCGTGCAATTACCTCGGCCTCCGAAACCAGGCCAGCCGTCGTCGTGCGCGCGATTACGTAAAGAGAATGATTCTGCGTCGGCTGGTCTACGGGCCCAATTACACGATCCACCCCCGTTTTCCTTACACTTTTCCACATCCCTTTTGAAATTCATGCAGAGTCCAACCGATACCAGGCGGTATCATAATTGGCGGAAGGCAACTATGGCGATCACGCGAAGGAATTACTTTAAAAAACAGTTTTCCTGTATAATCGTATCTTTGAAGTATCTAGGAAAAGATTCTTACCGGCATAGATTCGCGGAAAGGACAAGAGACAATTCCCTACTGAATCTCTCCGATCAAAAGACCGACGAATCAACTGTCCCCGTGAATGGACATCGGAAATTTGCTCCGGGTCGGAAATAAAGAAAGAAATACTTCTTTTTTTGAATCGCCGTCGCGTAAGCCGCATATTTCGACGGGCAGACAAACAAAAAAAAAAAATTCCATTGTGGATCCTAGAAGCTTGTTCGAGGAGAAAGAAAAAAAAAGGGGAAGAATGTTAACCGGACAAAGGTACTCCATCGCGCGGGGACAAATCAGGAACTGTTGTTCTTCGGTCGCTTCGAAGATGCAGTTAAAAACCTCAATTTCCTCCATTCTCGCAGCAAATCGCATTAAAATCCGGCGTTCGTTTCGTCGTCACCTCGCCGGAAAAGAATTTCTCTCCTGCTCGGAAGGAAAAGAGTATCTAAAGAGCATTTGCGTTGCTGAAGCGAGATAGTCGTTTAAGCCGAGGCAATAGCCACATAAGTCAATTTCACCGCCGCGCCGTGCCATCTAGTCGGCCCCGTGACATTTCTATTTTTCGTAAACACCGTTAAAAGGAAATTGTCTGCACCGCGACGACGGGAGCAGATGCATCGAGGTGGAATGCGTTTAATACCGAAGCCAGTCGCGAGTCGCGACATCGACGGCTGTCGTTCGTTCGTTCGTTTCGCCCACCTCGCGTTGCCTTGCCTTGCCTTGCCTCGCCTCGCTTCGAACGGAATGCATGACAACGCATTACGGAAGACGAGGATTCGCTTCACGGGTAATTCTGTCTCGTTTCTTTGGATTTAATGCCATTCTTGGCCGTCTTCCCGACGCTACGACGCTACGACGCTACGATTTCTAAGAAAAAATCCGACAATAAGTTAGTCCGAGTAACGATCCAGTGTTGTTTCCCAGCGAGTTTTTATGTTGTCCGGGAGTGATTGATGCTGGAGAAAACAATTTAGACCTCTCTTGTTCGAAGTTTAAACTGGAATGGTCCGCAGCTGCTGCTGCTGCTGCTGCGATATTCCGATCGGGAAATCATTGGAATTCAAGAAAAGTTTAAGGTAACAGACGTGGACGGACAAAGATAAAGCGAAGGAGATAATGGGAAGGTAGAATTGCAAAATGTAGAATAGACGTATATGGGATATCTATCTTCTGGATATAATACCAGCCCGTACCTACGTGATTCGAGTCTGGTTTTTCAGGGTGAACATTTTGCAATGTACCGAGGTCTCTGTTACCTTCGGATACTTACAAATTCACTCGATAATTGCCTTTCCGTGGTTAGTGGATTACAAATGTAACGTAACCAAGAACAGAAAATCTATGGCTATCACTGATAACGAGGCTGCGTGCCTTCCAATTAACCGGAACAATCGAGCCAGCCTCGTCCATCCGAACACGCTTTATCGCACTCGCTGAATAGTTTGCCTGGTCGGTGAACCAAGATCCGCCGAAATAGAGATCGAGAGCGCACCCCTCGATCGGCACACCTCTCCCAGCTATCGGGACTAGTAATTGGGGCTCTCTGCGTATACGTACACACATATAGAAGCCAGGAATACGAATTCCGCGTCACGTGAGATTGTTGTGAACGGACGAAGCTCGGTGCGATCTTGCGATATTGCGATATTGCGATATTGCGATTTCGACCGTCAACCTGATTCCCTGTGCTGTTAATTATTCGATATTGTGCCCGATCAGGAATCTCGAAATTGAATTTGGGTTTGATGCGCGGTAATTCGCGGGTAATTGCAAACTCGATGTCGATCATTACGAACCGCGCGTTATGACACAGTGTATCGAGGCATCCGGAAAGTCGAATTCTTCATAAATAATGTAAAATATCTTCTTCGACTTGTTTCTTGCGTTTAGTGAATCTACTTTGTTACGTGTCCCTTTTTCGTTCAAACGAAACATCTAGTGTTTCTCTTTATTATCTTCAAATATACGCAACACGAGAAGTTAATTTTGTAATTGTACTACACTTTGTAAGACGTTTCTAACAATTGTTTCTAACAGATAATCAGGAGATACTTCTTGTACCGCCTAAAAACGTGTAAACTAACTCGTTACGAATGAATAATCAACGGTACCATGACAATGAACTCTTTTTCTATCCTAAGATCGTTATCTAATTACTTCGTTTTGTGTGGTAATTATTGTGAACACGCGACTGAATGAACTTTACGAAGCGAACAATTCTTCGAAGGTTTCATAGACGAATACACGCGTATCGTAGTGTAAACTAAAGCCGCGATCGGTGTAAAGTGTGAGCAGGAAATTCTTGCAGTGAAAGTCCGACGATTGCATCGTTTTTCTAAGAAAGAAAGATTGCCTGCTGCGGATGCAGCGTGCCATTTCAATACCACCGTAAGCACAGAGTACATTATTGTATCAGTATTCAACTATTCAATGGAGATGATACAGACAGACATTAATATTGTAGATGGACTTAACTGGTCTCAATCCTAATTACTATGGACAGTTTGTATGTATTTCTCGATTACGGGAATATAGGTATATAATTACTGGCAGATCGAGTGAATTTTCGAATGAACCACATTCATTCGAAATGCGATAATACTATATAGAATTATGTAATGGTATTCACAGAAAGAATTTATAAGAATCCCTCTGCATACATATACATATATTTCAGTGATACTTTTCAATGGATCCCCTTCAAACTACGCTGCAAGATTTCGATTGTAACCGCATCGAATGTTTATACCTGTTCCATTTTAGACGTATTGATTTTCAATATCAGCCGCAATAAAGTTCACCATTACGATAAACGCAAATGAACTGTAAATCCCAGTGAATTCAATGCCGTTTATTTCACCATACATCCACTAAAAAACCGAGACAAAAATCTAGGTTAAAAGGTTGCGGTAAACCCATTGATAAACAGCAAGAAAAAAAAATTTCCACCCGAGCAATGTCACCAACCTTTCTGTGCCTTCAATGTTTCAGCGACCCTAAACCTTTAAGCTTTTAAGCGTGTACGTTAAAAATTCAAGGGGGAATTCTCACGAGCGTATTTCACGCGATAAATTTCTAACCGGAGCGAGGCGAGACGGTTTTATCAGGTGAAATACACATTTTGTTCGCAGCTTCCGGATCAGGGTCGGTGATAGGGAGGGACCCACTTCCTCCGAGGGCGGTCAGTACGTCGCAGCTGGCACAGAAAACACAGACGCAACCGCCAGCTTCCTCGACTGCTGTGTCCACCACCCTTCCGCTGCCAAGGGGTAGCGCCTCGCACCGGCAACCCCTTCCGCTTCATCAGTCCACTCCTCAGTCGGTTAGGCAGTCGGACAACGATATAACCGTCAGCTCGCAGATTCTGCGAGTTGCCAGCAGCGGGAACATTGACACCAGTTCTCCTGCCATGTCAGTAGCACGTTGTACTAGAGGGCGATTTAAGGGTGCAGACTAATAACAACCGTATAGCGACAGTCACGCTTAACCATTTGCACTCGGAATTTCCTAATTCCCCATACACTTTGTCCCTTCAGATGGGACAATCGAGTGTAAAGGGTTAAACGACCTGTGGATTGTTTCCTCTCGTGGAGGGTAGATTATTCTAATTTCGTCTTGTGTATTCGCATCGTATGCCCGGAAGGTAGTTAGAAATGTTTTATGTATCGAGGGACAACATGTTTCTATTAAAATTACAGGCTCAACAATAACGAAGGAAAAGACCCGAGGTTAACGTCTTCGAGCAACCATTCCACTCAACGACTGATCAGCCCGGCCGGACAATTGAGGGTTGTTTCTTTGAACGATCATCGAGTGTCCAGTCCCAGCGACAGCGACATACGAATTCATAGTCCAAGTATGTATGTACGCATGATGGGCCGACACGCGCACAAAAACATTCTTCTCACCCTCGTCACGGGCACACGGAAACTTAAACGTGATCCCTGGAGCGAGTCGCGAATCCGGGGAATTAATATCCTAGATCGGGCTGCTTGTTCTCGAATGAAACTTCAATCTCTGAGCTCTCTGAAAAGGACACGAATTCAGCCGTAGAAGTTTACCCGTACCGTTGGGGTTAATTATTCAAATAACCACGGGGGCGGGCCGGGCCCGCGTCGGAGTATAAAGCGGCGCGAGGAATAATAGAAATCCCTCAAGACGGAGAGCTAACTGCGTTCGATGTCTCGTGGCCTTTCGAAGACGTTCGCGAGGGGAATTGGTAGGTTCTACGGGGAATACAGAAACACCCCATGAGCGATACCGACTTTGTACCACGTTTGTAAAAGATGAAATTGAATGAAATATAAAAATCAGGCCCGGTTAATTGTGGCGGATCAACCTATGGACCGTTATGACACTTAATTCAACAGTGTCCAACGTCTGGGGAAATTATATTTCCGAACAAATATTAGCGAGCGTATGTCCGACGCATGAATTTGAGCGGTGGTTAAGCGATATCGAGACAATATTTGCTCCATGCAAGGTTCTTATTCGGGTCAGTGCTGCGAATATTAAGTGGCGCTTTTCTGCATTTCGATCCAGTCCGTTTCCGAGGCGTATCAGTTAGAGAACCCTGTTCTCGATATGATTAAAGAGACAATCGACTCCCGTCCAAACACCATCGATACTGTCGCGGTATGCCATTTTCTTGATTTGGAAAACCGCGCGTGTGCCGCTTCTCCGGCAATCTTAATTAATATTCTCCCGTAAAACGAAGACGTCGATATCGAATCAAAGTGAAAACTCCTTTTTATGCATTCATCTCCACCTATAATTAAGTTACGCGTCAAGGGGACAAAGTTACCTTGGTGCAGCCGTCGTTGAATTTCACGGTAACGCAGCAAGTCGGCCTTGTTCGTTTTGTGTTTTCCAGTCGAGAGGAAAATGGTGAGCCCGATCGGGCGAGAAGTGGACCGCGGCGGAGGCTCGTCGGCCGCCAGGCAAAATCACCGTGCATGGGAGTGCAACGAGCTGCTGCATAAAAGGGTGAGTGAAAGACACGTAGTTGGCCGTAACGTAAACCTTCGAGTTGATTGGCATGGCGAAGCATGGACAGAGAAAGGAACTCGATGCAGCGGCTCCGGCTTCAACTGATTAGCTGCTTTTTCCTCGCACTTCCCCCACCCCCCTCCCTCTGTGTGTTTCATTATTTTTTCACGTATGTAGACAACATTAATGTAACACGCGACAAGCAAGTAAAGCAAGCACGTTCACCTGTGTACGGTTGCTCGTGCGTTCTGTTCACCGAGTGTGCGGTAGTCCGCATTATCGTCCAAGCATGTAAATTCCATTAGTCCAATTAATTAGAACGTTGCACCTGCGGCCCCGCGCGACACCGGAGCAAACGAAATTAATTGCGTTTCCGTGGTCCAAGCTCGCGCGCGACTGGAATGGAAACGCACCCGCCGCCGTCGTCCAAGACGGTCGACGCTTCTCGCGACGGGTTCACTCGTTACCGTGTGTCCAACTACAGCGTTGACTTTTCCGCGATTACGAAACCTTGTTTAGGAGATAGGGCTACGAAGGCCGCTACGGAGTTCTCGCGAACACTTTCAAATCGATTGTTCGCTTGTAACCCTAGTCTGATTGTGTGTCAAACTCCGTGATTCGTTTGACCCGATGACGGTGATACACTGTTACCGCGCGTTCGAATCAACCACACCGGAGATTCTGTCGGGTTGTTCACGGTTTAACCGCGGATTTTAGGGGGATCACAACGGAAACACAATCCCACGTAGGTGTTTATTAATATCATACTTCGTCATATTCATTACATTCCTGTTCTAGTAGAGTTTCAACAGTTTTTCATATATATTACAAGTAGGATAATGTTCGATTCATTATTTTCAATCCCAATCGTTTTCCGACTAAACGTGCTAATTTCTCTGAGAATCTTTGTATTCTGACAGTCAAAGCGAAAAATTAAAACAAAAAATCGTAGACTCGAGCAGACCTGGGCATGAAGGATGGAAGGAGGTCACAGTGTTTCGTTCTAGAAAATTCATAGAACAGGCTGGAGCACGGGGAGCGATATCCATTACGAAAGGGGACCGAAGAAACCTCTGAAAGCCATTCAAACCCACGAATACCCGCGTATCTCTCTCGCTTTCTCTCTCTTTCTCTATCGGTTCGATGCTTTTCAGTCTATGTCGGTCCGCGAAAAGCAGACGGTCGATTCAATCGTGTTCATTTGAAGTCGAGCCCTCGAGCGTTTTCATTAACGAAAAGCATGCGGTTGTTTATCGTAGAAAGTCATTAGGATAAACAGGAGAAAGAGAAGGAGGATATGGGACGAGAGGGACACGCGTGAGCGCGTCCAGGACTCGGTCAGAAATTTCATCAGTTTCAATTAATAATCCGTTAATTTCGTTTCGAGACTACAAGGGTACCTGGAAGTTTTTGCGATATTTCGTATAGTCCAGTGACGGTAAAGGAATATTGACAAAGGAGGCTTTAGATGATACGAGACAGATTTTTTAAGTTAAACAGATATCAATCCTGTTCAAGGTGTTTATATTTCGATCAGATTAATTCCACTGGAAACATAAGAAGATCTTATTATTCTACGATCATATTTATCGTAAATGGAATAATTTATTCATGAAACACAGTAGTGTAACCGGTATAAAAGTACAGAATCTTACAGTTGCACGACTCACTCTGTGAACGTATATTGATTTTTCATCCAAACTGGACAAACTACGAACTTGTTTCTCGAGTGTTTACTATAAAAGACGAGTTCCTTCAGCTCATTCCGTCAAGGAATTAACATGGCCGAAGGGATCATAACGAAGAAGCAAAGAAAGAAACAAAATGGAACTTAGATTGTAGAACTGCCTGGAAACGACAAGATGTTACATAAATGCCGAACGAAACTTTTGTAGAATAGCAAAGTACAAGTTTCCCGGTAGAACGGTATTCTACTTTGTTTCCTTGCTGAACGAACAAAGGTTATTTCGAAGTCTACCACGGAAGAAGTTAATAGAATTCTATAGGTTCCGCGACCAGAGTGACAGCTTACGTGACATGGATCTCTGTAAACGAAGGCTTTGATCGCACAAGGAGTTCGGATAGCGTGCATCGAATTTACACGATTATTGTCATTATAGGATTCCAAAGGGACGGTTCCTAGGAGAACGGAACATGTATGGTAACTGTAGGTTACTGGAACCCCTCACCAGGCTCCCGTGAAATATAATCACTGATATTACGAGCCGATCCTGCAGCACTGATCGACACCAACGATGCACGAATGGCGAAATTCGAGATTCCCTCCATCGTCGGAGTGAAGTCGATCGTTTACATTGAAACGGTACGATTGCGAGAAATTTTATCCAACAGTATGTACGAACGATTTAAATGCAATGAATACAAACTTGATGGAAGTTACTCGTTCAGTTCTCTGGATACTTTGTCCCTTTGAAAACTACGTAAGTGATTTGCATAAGATTAATCTGATAATTAATGCGACAAGAAATACATCTTTGCAGAAATCGAATAATACGCCGAAATAACGCGAGGCCTATCATTTTTCCGAGCAGTTGGACCCTACAATCACGTTCTCCTGTTCACAACCAGGAATTCCGTAATAGCCATTCGCGTTCGGCGGTACACGGTACATGTCGAACCGGACAGCAAACCGAGAGAGCCCTCTCGCGTCGTTTCTTTATCCGGAGACTGGAGGACACAGTTCGCCGAGAAAGTAACGACACAAGTGTCGTCCTCCCGCTGCCGTTACCTACAACGGTCCAAACGAAGGATCAGTGCACGAAGGCAGAAGGGGAGAGAAATCACGAACCGAGGAAGAAGAGAGGAAAGAGGATCGCGAAAGAGCTCCGATCCAAGGAGAGTCCTTAGGCTTTCCTCACAATAGAGTCTTACCCTCGAAAGTGTGTTGAAACAAGCGTTGTGCCTCTTGATTAAACAGCCTGGAAGTTTCTTTGTTCTATTCTTTGCCTCAAAGAAGCTGAAAACGGATGCTGTTTGTCTTGCGGGTCTATCGTCGTCCCCGTCGGAATCTACATATAGAGATAGAAGATCCATATTATGCATCGAAAAGATTCTATTTCGTGAGAAAAAGGAGCCGCCGTCTTCCGATATTCACCGAACAGAAACTTTTCAAGAGCTGGTTGGTGAAGTACTCGTTACGTGGAATAGGATCGCTTTCCCATAGATACCCGAAAATACGACTCTTTGAACCGTTAAAAGCCTCCGCGCGTCCCTGGAACCTTAAAACTCTCGGAGCTCTGGAAACTCTTAATCTGATAGTCCCGAAGGTTTGGAAGTCGTGAAGCTTTCCCAGTTCGGAAAGAATCGAAAATCTCGGTCGCCTTGAAACGGCTCGGGGACTGGTATTGTATATGTATACATGTACATATACATACATGTATAATACTGGATCGAGCTTTAAAACGCGCCCTGACATAGATTAAGAGTTCTGGGGTAATGGAAAGACACGAGAGTTTTCCGAAAGATAAAGATAAACAAGAAGGACTGGTAAATGATGTAAAGTGCCACTCTCTTCTCGGTAAAACTAGGGCTGCAGCTTTTTATTTATTATAGATTCCTCGTGGAAGCTTAAATCCCATCTTGATTCAAGCCAATGACACACGCAATAGTAATTCAAGGCTTACGTTGATGCGTATCGACATATCGAATCTCATAGAATTTCATCAGTCCTTGGTATACATGACGTGTTCAGTAAAGATCGCAAAATTTCCGCAGACACGATAGTGGGGAAAAAAGTATTATGGACATACGAATCAAAGAACACTAAAAATCCACAAACTCTGAGCTCCGATAGATAAGAAACGCGAAATGAACCGGGGAATATAATCGAAACCCGATAACTACTGGACAATTTCTATATACATAGATACCAATTTCTCCAAAATTACGAACAACAGGTTCGTCGTGGTCGGTAAAAGACGGTGGTTAATCGTAACATTATAGTCAGATCTCAGTTACAAAGGCTGCTTTAAGCAAGGAACATAGGCTGGTGTGGTCGGGGTGAAGCCAGCCAGATCCCAGGCAAAACATACAAAACGATGGCTCGACAAGCCGAGCAAGGAACCACGGTGCATGCCGGGTACTGCAAGAGTTGGTGAACAGGCTTTGCCGATCGGGCCGGGCATCACGCCAGTCTACCAAAGTCTTCCTTCCACCTTCGCGACGCTTGGTGCTCTCCATTGTGTTCGCTTCGTGCTCCGGATACGCGTATCAGTATGAGACACTCCCGTCTATTCTCTCGGCCCTGACGATCATCGATCCGAAGCTGACAAGATTTCGTTCTTCGTCGATGAAACCCGCGGCTGGGACCTTTTGAAAGCAGGTACGAGGATTGCCGGCAGCATTATTCCGTGTCTGCCAAAGCGCCAGTGCCTGTTGTACTGCTCGATGGATCGATGAGGACGCGGTAGGTCCTGTGTATTGTTGCTTTTTCGCATTTTCCTGCAGTTTCTCGTGTGCCAGAGTCGCCGCTGTGTCTGACAAGCTAAGCGCAGGGCCGTTGGTTCGCTCGTGATTAGCGAGGAAAAGTTTCTTTCTTAGAATAAAAGGATCAAAAGGTCGTCGTTGTATCTCTTTGTAACTTTAACTCTCTAGACAGTTAAGTTGTGCGGTATCTCGACCTATTTTACCTGTTCGAGGGAATAATTTTTGTGTTTCTTTAGACCGTAAAAGATTCGAGTTTGTCGTAAATTAGTTAGACACGCAAAGTATTCTAGAGTCGTACCTTTAATAGAATTAATACTGATCATCGATTAGTGGATTGACATGTTATCCGGCTGATAACGGCGAATATGTAGTATACGACTGCAATTTTAAGACGAATGTGCCATATGACAATGTCCGCCTCGAAAACTCTAGTCACACTGGTATCAGCGTTGTATCTGTAGTCTCGTAAATATTCATGTAGCGACTTTATGCATACGACTGTCACGTTTTAGAAAGCAGCTTTTTATACATTGGTAGAGGATACGTTCGTTCTTTTTTTTTTTTACTGCGATCGGTACACTCGCGTATCGACGCGAAATTTTCGTCGCGTCGAAGCCTTAGGTTTGCTCGTACTGTTATTTTTTGTTTGCGTAACGTTTGCGCAGCATTTGTGTTACGTATCGTGTATTATTTACAAAACATTGATTCACGCATCGGTGAAACAAGCCCGTTCCGTGCCATTCTCCGTGTCCTTTTCATCTTCTCCATGCCAAGTCAAATTGAATTGCTTCCTATCACACTATCATCGACGTACAATTTCGACCTATGCGTGGTGAAATAATTCGGTGTTCATTACACGCGTTGCACATATCGATACTCACGGTCACGAAGAAACATCCGTTTTCGTTCAAGCGCGTATGTCCTTTCATTTACATACTTTTCCAAAAAACCGTCACGCGAGCTTGCTGTTCGACGCGAAATCACGACTACATTTCACGCGCTCGTAGTTTCCATCGCACGAATCAAGCTTCGCAGAAAAAATTCCGTCAGTACCGATCCTTTTCACGTATTCGTGACTATCGCTCAAAGGAATTTCACAATAGAAACTATTCGAAGCGTAAGCCGTGTTCTGTTGAAAATTGTCAATTTCAGTGAAAGCCCGGGAACTCTTAATACATCAATGATTCCGTTTCATTGTCGCAGAATTAAAGAATATTTCGAAAAGAACACGACCTATACGGACAAGCGTCGAATGTCAATGACAGCTTCGCTGTCTAACTTCCGCCGTTAAAATTTTTATTCGTAAATCTAACATAGCGTACGTAGCGAAACATAGTATTTTCACAGAGTCCGATCGATTTCTCGTCGTTGTCCGAAAAAGAAAAGGAGCGGCGCAGTAACCGTGCGTTCACACCGAATTGTTCGCCAACGAAACGTCTCAGCGAATCGCGGGGGGGGGGGGGATCGTGACCAGGCTATTTAATCGGGCGGGCGTTCGCGTGCACGCGTGTCAATAGCTAACGAAAGATTGCATGCCTCTCGACAGAGCAACGTCCTCCTCATCGGCTCACAGCGAGCGGATGGCTACAAGCTGCCGCAACCAGGGACGCAAGGGCTGGTCCGCGTGTCCGCAGGCGAACTCCTCGGCAGGACCCACGAGGAACTGGTACTCCTGCTGATCCAACTGCGACGGCAAAACGCCACCATCTACAAAGCGATGGAGACCTGCCACATGGAGATCGAGGCTCAGGTCCGGAGACATTTTACAGGAAACAATTTCGACTGGGACAACTGTCCTCGAGGATGGACCCTTGCGCGAACTCTCTGCCGGTGTCCGCTTCGTCCTCTCGCGATCGATCGCAACGAGCATCTTTTATAGGCCAGAGAAAATATTTGATTGTTTCACGAGTAATGTCGTTCGTACGTACCTATAATTGGACACTTGGCACCTGACTCAAAGGGATGTCGGTATTCACAATTTTAGTATAAATCTAGTGAGTTCAAGTCCGAACGATATCGCTCACGAAATCATCGAATACTTTTAGAAGGGAATCAGTTGATCCGGTCGAAGGAATACCAGTGGACGATTACCGTCAATTTTTCTAACGAAACTCCGTAGATTAACGGAGTCGGATGTGTTCACGAGGACGTTGACGGATGGTGCCCGGGAACGTTTGAACGATACCGTGGTTGCGAAGAACTGGTCCGAAGGACACGTTCCGAATGAACGTTATTAGAACCGTAACTTTCCTCGGGAGAAGAATTCTTGCCTCGCTTTGTTCTCGTCTCGACGTTGAAGCTTTTAGTGTGCCTTTAATATACATATACAAGTAGTCGATGTCTGCGTGGTCGAAGGCTGAGCGAATTGAAATTCTGCTGCTACTCGTCGGTGAATCCTCGGTGTTGCTTCCAGAAAAAAGAATTCTCGCAAAGATATTTCTGCTCGCTCGAGAGGTTTTGTTTTCCGCAGTTTTTATTCGCCAGCCTTTGAACGCTCCACAAACAAGGTACATCGGTTATGCGTTCGGCTAATCATTCATAGAGCGACATCGCATAGTAACGTCCCACATTTTATCGTACGATTTCTTATGTTATTATTTTTCGAGCACGATTGAAAGGTTAAGAGGAAATTTAAGTCGCGCAGGATGGGTCGCGCAAAGTGTTTCAGCCATTTTCTCCAACCACCCTACCCCTCTGTGGTGAAACCAGCCGTTCACTTTGCGCGGAGAATGCAGCCCACAGTGTGTTATCCGCTAGGAGACGCGTCGCGTTTCCACGTGTACCCCGAAGACTGACTTTGCCGTTCTCGTTTGCGATATGCGCGCTTGTCCTGTCCCAGAGGGAATATTAAAAGTTTCAACGCGGTTGGTCTCTGCGTGTGTGTTCGTTTTTTTTTTTTGTCGCCATACCTCCCCTCGTTAGCTGAGTTGCTCGAACATACGCGAAATATACTATATTCGGACGGGAATCGTGCTAAAAGAGAAACGAGGATTTCAATTTCCCTCAAACATTTAACTTCGACGCGCTGATCAATTACCATCGTCGATATTCCTCCCTGTGCATTCGATCGAATGGAAGTCAACCTGTGATTATGTGTACGATCGTCGATGTCTTCCGATTGCTTGTTCGAATAACCGTAATTCGTGTGACGTTTTGTGGCGAATGCCGATTCACATGATCACATTTGCACCTTGAACATTGCACCTATGTGTTCCTCCAGTTTGTTTTAACGTTACCACCAGAGTTCCGTCGATCGCACGTATATAGCTGGAAATCTGTTGCCTTTTTTCTCGCGGTGTCGTTTCGCGTGCGTTGAATTTTCATTGAACGTTGCAACGTGACTAGGTGCAACGGATCAAGGGGACGATGCAACGGTGTCGCGTTTAAAGCGTCTATCCTTTTTGTGACCCGCAGGCCAGATTGGCAGAGCTCGATACTCCGCGACGATTGGAGAATCTTCAGAAGCTGGAGGAACTGAAGAAACACCTGATGGATCTTGAGAAGCAGGTGAGAGACCGCTTTTCTCGGGATTTTCAACGATCGCCGGGTGAAAGCTCGCGATCATTACGCAACGTTAAAGTCAATTTCATGCGATCTATCTATCGCGGCGATACTTGCGCAAACGAAAGCCAGTCGTCCTGCCCATTTTATACGCGCTGCAAAATATCTTGGTCCACGTCCGGCTATACGAAAGACGACGCGAAAGATCAACACGGTCCAAGTTATAAGATAAATTTCCAGCGAGTGGAAATTCGTCTCGGCGAAGCGCGCGCGTTCAGTTCCCTAGGATTTAATTATTCCGTCGAACTTTCCCGTCTGTGGACTTTTTCAAGCCGTGGCCCGGTTAATTAAGAAACTTCGAAATAAGCCGTCGCCGTCGCCGTCGCCGCCATGGCCGCTTCGAAATCTCAAAGCAACTTGTCTGCTTGCGTTTCAAGTACGAGAAGGGCAAACCACTGGTGAACCTGGTCGACAATATGGTGAAGTTGGGCTCCCTGTACAATCGCAACACTGCCAATGGGACCAACAGTGTCTCGGGTTCGCGACACGACCTGGCGCACGACAACTCGAGGGATCATCGATTAGAATTCAACCAGAAGGTGCAGGAACAACGGCTTCTGGCCGAGGAACGACGGGATTGGGATAGACTGAGTCCTGATCACGGTCAATTACAGGTACTTATTTTTTATTTACTTCATTCTACTTTATTCGCTGATGGACAAAAATTCTGGATCCTCTGGACAATAAACTCCTCTAGTTACAACTCGCGATACGACGGTGTCTTTTCACGTTTTTCCTGCAAACGGGAGGTCGTCCGCGACCAAGACATCTCGAGACGGTGTCTCGAGTAAAGAATGACCACGAGAAGTCAAGGAAAAACTGACGCTAGTCCACGCCAGGCGAGTTGGAAACATTTATGGTCTTTCAGGAATTTTCCCGTGTGTCCGTTCTGTCGCAAGAGACACGGACACTGGAACGTTCGATACGACCAACTGTCCTCGGTTTCCGTTGCTTCGTGCACGGTAACAAATTCGAGATAAAAGCGAGCTCACCACGGGAAAACTCGTCGGTCCGGGGGGAATAGCGGGAGAAAGGAGACGGTTCGTTACGGTATACCGTAGGAAAAAGCTTCTACAGAGACGGCGGGTTGATCTCGTTAAAAATATATCAGAAATTATTCTCCCCTTTCGACTCCCGTGTCCCCCGTGTAATAAATTACTATTGCTGTCTAGTGGGACGAGTGAGTCGCGTTTCGCACGAATTACATTACGGGAAGACACAGTCGCAATAAATACGAATTACACGTCACGGAATCCGCCGTAACGGTGCATAATACCACGTCAAAATCCGAGAGTATAAAGGATTCGAATAACGCCGCGACATTGTCGTCGAAAGAATGCGGGGAATATTGCGAACGTAACGTCTGAAACGGTTAAATCCATTGTACGACGAGGGGACGCGTAAAGCCGCGCGTTCCACACGTGTACGACGGCGCTTCGGACGCCTCTTTGGACACGGTGAGTAAGTAGCAACTTTCAGGAGCAACGTAATTCGGATAGAGAATGAATAAAAACGGATATTGCAGACCCCGTTTCCTATAGTAATAATAATAATAACTTCCTGCAAAGAACCGATACAGAGTGTGTTCTCAAGAGAAAGGGGACGCTTGAACCGTCTTTATTAAATTTAAAGATCCAAAGAACGCATAGGGCGCGGTTTAATCGGGACGACAGTTTTATCGTCAGAGCTTGTAAATCACGCGCGAATCAGAGCAATAACGGCGCGTTCTTCGAAACAAAGCTGTGTTTTATTGGTCATAACAAGTTTACGGTTTCCCCGATATTTCGAGCGAACGCGTTAACTCGCGAACAAAACAAGGAAGAAGACACGTCGAAAACCGCGAGGCGGCCGATGAAACTCTATACATATTTAAAAAGTACACGTCGACAGCACGCGTGTCGGTATGCGGGGGATTTCTTTTTTTTTTTTTCGGGGCACGATTATAACACCCAGTCGCTCGATTCTACCGGCATATTGCTACCTATTCCGGTTGAAACGCGATTCCAGAGCTCAAGGTTAACTCTCGTTGCTTCTCTGTGTCGTAGGCCAAGGTACAGCAGCTTTACAAGCTGGACCGGCTGTTACAGGAGGAATCCGGAACGCTACACAGTCTTCAACAGGACAAGGCAAGTTCACGTCTACTCTTGTTACTTATCTGTTCTTTGAAAAATTAGTTTATCCCTTTGCAAACGCTCTCGATAAAGTGTCTCTGAGTTTGCGATGTGTTACTTGGATACGGTGAAACATGATTTTATTGCGCAACGTTATGTCGCAACAGAGTGTAACTAAGACGCTTTTGTGTCGATCTGCTGGACAGTAGAGTCGATCGAGTATTATATATTTAAGAAAAATATTGAACTCGATATAAACGTGGATAGATGAGACTCTGATTCATTCCCGATCGTGTTGTGGCCGTAGAACGCGTTAAATCTCGTAAGCTTGATAAATCGATACGCGAACCGTTTCGTTCAGCTAAATATTCGGAATGTCGTACAGGAGATCCTAGAAAAGGCTCTTGGCGGTCTGCGGCACAAGCTTCAGGGCAGCAGAAGCAACTTGGCGGAAGCCGAGAGATACCGGAAGCAGCAGCTTATGTTGGAGAGGGAGCTGAGCAGAGTGAGGGTGTTGCTCGCGCACAATTCAAAGGTACGAAGTGCAAATCAGCTAGATGCCGCGTGTCCTTCTCCTGGCTCGTTGGAAGCCGATTAAGATGAATAGAAACCGATTGACGAAAAACCTCAAATTCGAAGAACAGACGTCGGCTGATAGCAGCAAATAGTCCCAACGCGTTTTCATATATATTTTCAATAGTTCCCTCGAATTCACTTGCATGAATGATTGAAGTTGCAAATTCGTTCTGTTGCTCGAGCCACGTTGTCGGGTACGAGGGAATCATCCTTATGTTTCTGACTTTCAGAAACTGGAAGAAACGGTTGCCGAGAATGCAAGATTGGAACAGGACCTGGTGGTGCTCAGACAAAAGCTTCAGGCGTCGAGAAGATACGCCGGGAATATCACCAGGGACACCTCAACGACGACCGGTCCCCTCGAAGCGGAATTACGGAGGGTTCAGCAGCTCGTCGGCGATCTACAGAGACAGCGAAAGGAATTGAGCGTTCAAGTTAGACAATTGACAGAGAAATCTCATAGTCTGGTGCAGCAGATTCGACCGCAAGCCCCTTCCGGTGAGTTCATTGTCTTATAATCTTTTTGCTTTGGGTAAAATTTCTACGAAAAAGCTCTCCGTTGAATGAAATATCCGGCCGCTGGTGATTCGAACGATAAATTGTTTCTGTACGATCGCACAGCTCCTCAAGTGCACCAGTCGAAGAAGAGGGCGCAAAACTCTTGGCTGGAGACCGATCTGGACTCTGGAGTCACTTTGGATCACGGTCTGGACTCACCCTCGAGTCCAGCCCTATCCTCGTCACCGCGTGGCAAGCAGAACGGTGCACCGCATCCTCAATTCGTATCGCCGTCACAGATCAAGGAATCTTCGCCCACGAATCGCCAACAGAATCATCAACAGTCGTTCCCTCAGTCGCCGCAACATCATATTTCAGCACTTTCCCCTCAATTGCGGGAACAGATTCAGCAGCATCAGCTGAAGCAACAGCTCTTGAAAGATCAGATGCAGGGTAAGGGGAGCCTGAAGCAAGCGAACGTTGCGCCGTTGTACGTCAACACGGATACCAGAATACAAAGTAAATTATTCAATTGGTCGTTTTTAAAAATGCTGCGTCACGCTGTCTGTCAATTTTCCTAATTCATATTTACACGTGTTATTCTCGACACAGACGGCAACAAGCACGAGGAAAACATGATTAATGGCACATCGATCCCCGCGCCAGAGTACGTCCCTCCTCCTCCGCCGCCACCCCTAAACGAGGAAACGTTAGCAAATGATAATTACAGGCTGAACGAGGACAACAAGTTTGCCGGTGAGTGATACGAGATACGGTCGCTAACTAGTGTCACAATAATAGAAACGATTCCGTTTGGAAAATGTTCACGTTCGATCGAATGTGTATACATATATGTATATATAAATATTGAAGGCTTAATTCACAACCGTGAGAAACAAGAGATCAAGACCGTGCGAATCGTGAAACGGGAATCGGAGAGACGGCAACGCGATCGAGGAGATAGAACGGGTAACATTGGAATTCCATTAACAAACGGACTGCAGGCGCCCGGAGGCGCGAAAAGATTGTGCGACGATGATATAGGGGGTTCGCAGAAATTCGAGGTAATCTCTTTGGATTTTTCACCTAACGATTCTCCCGCGAATCATGTCCCTTTATCCAAGTCGTATTTTAATAAAACTGCACACTCGTACGTTCTGAACGAACCGAACGGCTTGATTTCGTACGTGAAATGAACAATAAAAATCACAGATACGTGACCCGTTGGTCTATCTCGAACGTGTCACGTGAGATTTGTTTTTTCTCTATTTTCAATCAACTTATTTTTAGAAGGCTCAATTGGGAAGAGTGGTCGAAGAATCGCCGATGATTCACGCGCAGAGCACGGTCCAACTGACGGATTTGGACGACGTACAATTCCAAAGAAGCATGTCGTTACCGAGAGGTTTCGGTGGACAACGACAGCAGCAGCAGCAGCAGCAGCAGCAGCAACCTGAGATACATCAGGGTCCGGTAGTGCCTCCGCCTAGGAGCGACAGCATGCACGCTCTGAGAAGCATGTTGGCCCGACGAAACAAAGTCAGGGTAAGTAATGTATTATTACCTATGAAAACATTGTGTAAATTAAGGAAAGTAAATATTTTCTCATCGTTTTACGATGTCTCCGATTTCTTTAAGAATCATGTCGTTCGTATAATCAATCTTAATAAGCTATCCTCTATCGAGAGTCCGCTACCACCGCTTAAGTCTACGCTTACTCCTTCATTTTTCGTTTCTGTTGTTTTCGACAGTCTTACTTTTTCGATGATTTATTTGCTCCCGCGGATTGCTCGGTTACTTTATTTACTTTTTGTTCAACAATCGTCACAGTTCGAAAGTCAGGACGGCAGCTCGGATAGTACGTTGTCGCCGTACACCGAGAGTTTCGGTTCGAGTTCTCACATGCCGATGAGCTCGCCGAATTACTCGACCAGTCCCTCGTACAGTCCAAGCCATCAGAATTACCCTGGCCAGCCGACGATGCGACCGAGTCATCATCAACAACCATATTACCCGCAGTACAGACATTACGAGAACCCGATCTCGGGGAAGACGGAGAGTCCTTTGGACCCGGTTAGCCCCGAACTGTTGTCGCCAACGAAACCCGAGCCCCAGGAAAGACCGTTCGGCTCGACGCTGACCGTGAACGCCTCGAACTCGCCGCAATTGTCGCCGGTGTTCAAGAGCGAAGCCGCGAAACAGATCATCAAGGAGATGACGGAGAAAAAGGTCGAAGGACCTAGACGACGGCAGATCCCGCGCGAAAAGAGACGTCATTATACCGTATCCAGTAGCAAACCCGTCCTCGATTTAGAAGACACCTTCTCGAAGATGGTATTTTATTTTCGTATTTTGTGTTTTCGCAATTTTTATCATATTTCATTTATTCTTATCGTCTATCCTTCTCCATTCCTACACGCGGTGCTTTTATGGTACATTACATATGTCGAAGCGGAGGGAAAGTTTGATAGATATAGGAATTGCTTTTGTGTTCTCCAGGGAATGGGCAGAGCTAGAGACGATCTGGACATGGAACGAGCGCTCAGGCCGAGAATAAATGCTCCGGATGTCGTTAGATCGACGTTGAGCCATAAAGAACTCAAGTATAACGAGAGCACTATCGATCAGCTTCTTGGGACACCGAATAAGATCGTTATTCCTGAGAGATATATTCCTGAGCAGGTCAGGTTTCTATTAAAATATTACGACACTTTAAAATATACCTCCGTGAACCTTGAGTATTCTTTCAAGGTCCACCGAGGACTTCAATAGGTCAGTTTTACCAGTTGCAAAATTTTCTAATTCCAGACACCAGAGTTAACCGCAGAGGAACAAGAACAACGATTGAAGAAAGCAGAGGCAATCAGAAAGATGCTGTCGGAAACGACCGTAACCGCACGAGATGGAAACGGTACGACTTTAATCTCTTTAATTAAGTACCTACGTTGTCGGTAAATGTGAATTATATATAACTGTCGTGACATCTTTCAGACGACAATATTAACGTAGAACAATCAGACAGTCTGAAGAGAAAGGTGGTGGAGGAGAAACGTCAGAGGGAACATATTCTACAGCTGAACCAGATATTGGCGAAGCAAGTTATGGAAAAAAGTAAAATGGTAGCTGGTACGTTGAATTCTCGTGTTTCGTATTCGTTCGATTCATTCTGCATGAATATATCCAGCGATGTGATTTGCATGACCAATGTGTAGAGTGGCTTCTAACGCCTTCTGCTTATTTTTAGTGCAGAGGGCATGTGCTTGTCAGATTATCTTTTTTTTTTTTTCGTATGATTTCTGACATTCTCACAATATTTGCGTCGTAGCTTACTTGTTTAACGTTCATCGTATAAGTATAAGAATTTCGTATGTACTTTGAATTTTTTACGATACGAACCACTGTTGTCCAATTTTTCGTGTAAAAAAGAGCTCTCATTGGCATGCATTATCTGAATTATTCGGTTATCAATTTTTATTAATTTCTCTCGAAGCTTTTATCGACGTTAAATATATGTACAGTACCGTCATACGTAGTGAGTGTTGTTTGGATTGTTTGTGCTGTGTATAGGTAACCAGGCACACTGACTGACATGCTTTCTCCATCCTCCCATATAGGACACGCACATCATATTATCGTTTTTCCAGGTTTGTTTATTTATATTTTTCTTTTATGTTACTCGCTCCTCTTCATACATTTGTTCCTCTATCAACGTTCTCTATTAGGTTTTATGCTCGAACGTTCAATGGGGAAATGATTCGTCACGCGATATTAGACCATCAGAACTATAATAACATACAGAAGAGAATAATTTCTTCAACGAACTTTCACCGGCAAATAGAGACTAATTCGCTCGGTTTGTTGATCGACAGTGAAAGCCCTGGCTACTCTCCCCCTGAAAACCGAATCGAGCTTAGACGACGATGATCTCTCGCCCGTAACGCCGTTACCGCTTTACCAGCAGAGAGAAAATTATTATTCGTAATGGTAAACGTCTCCAGCACAAAGAAATCAACTAACTGCCAGCCCGGAACAACAGAGAAACAACTATCTTTCCTCGAGTAACATTTCACGATGATAAATTATAGTCGCGGTTCACCCGACCCATTCATGTTACGGTTACGTTATCGCTAAGGTGACTTGATAAGGTGTTTTTTTATTTGCGTCGATATATTGTACATAATCATCGGTTAAATAAAACTACTAATAAACACGGTGGTCTCGTCGACCGTCTCGATAAGAATTTGGAATAATGGATGTCGAGAAAATCTAGCCGAGCGACTTTATTTATAGGAGAAAATAGTAAATATCGGAGCAATTTATTTGGTGACTTATCACGGAAATAAAGGAGCTTTTAAGTAAGTTTTTATTACGTATTCTTTTATTTTTCAATCGATTTCTGTTCCCCGTTGATAGTAAGTATATGTACTTTCATTAGTATAAGTTGTATGTACTAGTTTCTATTTACTATTTTCTACTTCGAATTTCACAAGGCTTTGCGTCGAGGCAGAATCGTTGTAGAGTTTGTTTCACTATAAATAAAAATGTTGGTTTTACTCCACACACGAAAGTAGAGGTCGGTAAGCTGAGAATTGTAATTTAATAGAACTAATTCACGGTTATAGCAATTAACGAGGCCCGCAGAACATTATCAAAATCGTTGCGAATGTAATCCAAAAGTATCGAAAAAACATGAACATTACTCTATACCCTATTCTACCTCGACCTTTCCTTCTATTCGAAGAAACTGTTTCCACGAGTTACCATCATTAGCAATAATAATGAATTAAACGGCGGAGATTGCATAATACGGTTTATTTAGTAACGGTCCGCGATCGAAATCCACCGACCGAATGTAGAAAAGGAAAATCACAAGCACTTATTAAGCAATCAGTTCGGGATTCAATACCTCGTAAGTTGAATTCGGCCAATACCGTATAGTTCAGCCGACTTCTACATAACTGACACTGGTCACGTAATTAAATTTCTCATTTGGATACTAAATCGGTTAGTAAAATGCGTATTGACCGAATTCATTGAAAACTCTTCGTTACTTAGAATCGTGTTTCTTGAATTGGACCTTTCGCGGACATTCATCTCAAAATATATTTTTGATTTTACTTCGTCACTACGACGAGTATTCGGTTGATTATACAATATCTTTTAGTTTGGAAATCATCGATCTAAGACAGTCATGAATCTACATAACAGAAACGAAATCTAGTAATAAAATAAGGAATAAGATAGGAGTTAAGGTTGCGTTTAAGATAGGTGCTACCAGCGACGCAACATAGCGAAATATTAACAAAGATTATTGTGAATTACGATCGTAAACATTAAACTGACTGAGACGGGGACAGTTTTGCGGCGAAAAGCATCGATCAATGGTGTCGTAAATCCACCGATTAGATTTATAACTTCCCAAATATCCACGGAACGAAAGAAACTATTAAAACTGTTACGTTCAAGACATTCGTTATCTGAAAAAGGCTCGAATTTTTTACGAAATCAGACTTAACAAGTTATGCAATATATCTTAGGATCTGTGAAGATGACCAGAAACGAGAACCATAGTCCTCCAATTTGATGGCTGTTCCAAGTCGCAAAATCGGTTCCAGTTCATCGCAGTCAAGCGCACGAAAATATACAATAAATTTATCCAACCACTCGCCATCCTATTCGGCACTTTTCCTGCGAAAGGCTTCGTATATCCGCGCGCGCTCGACTTGCGTTGAATCGCCTATAATCTAAGAAACGTATGTATATAGTACGCTTTAGAGACGTCCTGTAATAGCGTCCCGTATTGGTTATTTCCACGCGCCAACGCACGGGGATATTTAATCCGTAAAAGCAGTGTGTTACGAATGTTTTCAAAGTCGGTCCTCCTAGGTGGAATTGGTCGTTTGTTGAACAATCGCGAGGAAACGACCTTAAATGTTTATTTAGACGAGTTCTGAAGAATCTAGGCACTTGACGCGAATCGTTGAAGCAACATCGATTTCTTCACTTAATGAAGAACAATATGTATATCTTCAGTGTATACCGTGGTCTGACTTGAGCGTGACTCGGTTCTTTGAAGTGGAGAGTTGGAGATCGTGGAAAAAAGGTATTAATTCTTCCATTTATTCTCGAAAAAAAACAAATACTTCTTCAACGTTTTCACTATCGAATCAAGTGCAACGATACACATACGAGTATGTACCATTGCCTATTCGAGGCCAATTAATGTACACTGACTGTTGCGAAAGTTTGCATACCTATGCGAAGAGATGAAAAACAATTCTTTGATTTTCGCTAGTTGTCAAGGTTTTACTACATCTTCTCCGGCGAATACAATCGTAATGCCTGAAAGAACCAAAGCTCGAAAGTGTTCAGTATCAAAAGGTTTCGTTGCGTCTTCTAACCGAGATTATTTCGCACGGTTCTAACTCGTTAAAGTTATTAGAGATACGATTAAACAGAGAGAAAAAAGTGTTCCGGCAAAATCGAAGAGTGCCAAATTACACCCAGCAGATCGTTCGCGAAACGCGCGACGACTGTTCGTCAATTAAAAACCGCGAACCGACAGCACAAAGCAGTTTAACCTAAGGATCGAGTCCCGACAGTCGAGGACTAGTTCATCCCGAGAACGGTATCTCGCTAATCACGATAATTAAGGGTAGTAGACCTGCGTTTCTACGATCGCGTATTTCTCGGTCCGCAGGCATCGGCGTTAGGAGTAATTTTTTACAATACGATCGACCGTGAGCGACACACGGGATTCTCGATGAAATCGGCAACGGCTGTGTCCCGCGTGGACAAAAAGAGGTAGCAAAAGGAAGAGAAAGAGATAGCGCGCCCTTTTTCACTAACCTGAGATCGCGAATTCCCGAGAGTCAACGTTCGAGAAACGATGTTATTATCGGCCGTTTATCGCGGCAACACCTCTTCGCTCGATGTCCCTATTGGTCCGTGGTACCTGAGAAACCAGTAAAGGGTTGCTTTCCGCGGTTGCCGCGACGCCAACACGGATACCGTTACCGCCACGATAACGTCGAGACACTGTACTGTAAAACAAACTAACATTGCGGAAACAGGCACTGTTATTGTTACACGAATAAAATAAAACCACATACTACACGAGCGACGATCTTCCTTCGAACCGACCTCTCCCCCACCCTTCTTTACAATCGTCCGAACTATGCTCGGATATACATATGGTACTTACATAGAACCACATTTTCGTCTGTTTCGATATCTTCATACGGAATCTCAGTACGGAAATAGAAATACAATCATGCTGAAGCTGATCTTGAGAAACTGAAGTTATTTCGCGTTTAAATTCATAACATCGAAATATCACGGTCAGAATCGAACGCGTAGGTTGTTAATGGAACTTTTATTGTGCAATTAAACGAACACAATAATATCATTCGTGGAACTACAACTAGGCAGTATGAGAAATCGCACAGCATTGATTTCCAGATATAAGAGCGAATCGATAAACTGACCTTGCTGATAAATTCTGTAACTACAACGCATCGTAAGTTACGATAAAATCTTGAAGAAACGTACAGTGTATATCTAACGATAATTTTCCACTCGATCTGCATTTTTACGAGAGTAGGTGTGATGTAGGGTACACTTAGGAAAGGACATTTAAGTACTACTAGATGCAGGAAATATATGTATAAATGAGAAGTTAAGGAACTGACGATGACAACAGATCGATGACGTTTCAAGTATAATCAATGGAAACTTTGAATTTGATAAAATATTAAGGGCAAGCGGATGTCAATGAAGGCTAAGCAAAATTACGATATCGGGACAAAGAAACCGATTATGAATCAAAGAGAAACATCATAGTAGAACTTGAGACAAGTTGGCGAATTATAGGCAATGACGGATGGTGGTCGCCGCGCGATCGTCCCCCTCGACGTTGATGGGAGGCAGAGGGTCGACGAACCAACCAATCGTGCGGGATCCCCTGCACCTGAATTCTAATGAGGTCCAGTTGGGTATATATGAGAGCTTAACCTCGGCCGAAGCCACGATTTTTCTGAGGTACCCAGTTGTCGCGAAGGTGAGTCTTCTCTTCTCCTTACTTTTCTCTCGATATCGCTCTGCGTGCCTCTTGTACGTAATTTACAATTTTTCTCTTATTTTTCCATTATTAATATTTACCGATGTCCGTTATGCAAACGAAATTTGCGTGTGCAATTTTAATAGCAATATAGGATTAGTATTGTACAGGTAATACTCGTATCAGTTTTATCGGTAGGAATCAATTGAATCGTTGAAATCGTGTCGTGTTTGCCAAGCTCCCAGAAATGAGGAATTTTTATTCGATAACAAGTAGGTACCGTTAACGGTGCACTGTTCATCGTAAGGAATCAAGTAAAATACCTATGCAATGGGCAAGAATAGCGAATAAGTCATATAATTGTTTATCAATGCAGCCGTCATCGTATTGACAAACATTTCCGCGAAATATTTTTGGTTGATTATAGCGCGTATTTGTAGCGCGAAATCATCCTATGCAGCTTCGATAGAAATCCGATAATCCTGTTTAGAATTCGCGTCTAGTGATACGATAAAGTGCAAGCTAATCAGGAAAATTATAGCCAGAGTCAGGATTCTTGGTGAGACGGTCTTGATCTACTAGTTGACGAATTCCAAAAGGAATAACAAACAAACAGTGATTCCGTTGGGTGAAACAATTCCGAAACAAGCCGCTCTTGAGTTCAGAGATTTGAGTCGTGACTTGAAAATATTTCTAGGAAAACAATCATTATTGGTTAAATGAACGGATACATACGTGGAATGTTACAAAAGATTTGGACCCGGTTCCACGACGTATACTGTTCGTGTGCAACACTATTTTGAAACGATTCACTTGTCCGAAAAAGTAGACAGTACCGAACATCTCCTTAGACTTTAATCGGTCAGAACTTTAACAATCGTTCTGATTCCTCGGTACCTATCTTTCGTAAATTCGGTCGTATAAGAAAAGTCAAATTACTTGTTACATATCGAAGTCAAGATCCACTTTTAATACGTATTTTCCGCGCACCGTGTGCATTTTTATCGATGAAAGAACCGTCCAGCAGCGTACCAACACGGCGAAGAAAAAAAATATAGCCGGGCAACTGGTTGCCGCTAATTACCATCATACGTGCCCAATTACAAGGATCTCGAGACACAGCAACGAAACGATCCCTCGGAATTTACACAGGGTCGTTGGAATTTCACCGCGACCGCTGACACATCACGTGGGCGAGGGTCCACTCCCTTCGTTTCCGTTCTTTTTTATTTCCATCCTTCGTCTCTGGCTCGAAGGTCGCACCGAGGTGGAGTCGAACTTAGTCAGAGGACCTTCTGTGGATTCATTTTCATAAAAATAATATTGTGGCATTGTCTCCGGTGACAATCCGCCGCTTCGACATATTGTGAACATACTTTTGTAGACGGATAAGAATGTAGTCACTGGCAACTACCATATCGTAAATAATATGGCTAAGCATTCATTGAATATTTTATTTTATTCTCCATTCTATTGTAATCTATCCTAATATATTAAATAAATTTGTTAAATGCTTGTCGCAGTGCATCCGTAAAAAGATTTATGTTTCGTTCCTCGAAAATTGATAAAGTTCCGACGGTACTTGTTTTGGGCAAAAACAATCGCTTCCCATGTTCTCTATCCTAGAGTCTGGCTTCTTTGCGAGACACAATTAATAAACGGATCGATCAGTATTCATCGGAGGAAGTCGAATAGAAGACCTCTCACGGTTTCCCGCACGTTCGTGCGACTACGTCTTCGAGGTTCTTCCTGCTCGTCGAGAACGTCCATACGCGAGATCGATGCTCCGATACTTTTATTTTTGTTACGGACTCGTCGCGTTTCGATCAGTTCAGGGGCATAAAGAATCGATCGACGATATAGCCTTTCTAGTATTTGATCTACCGCAATCTCCACTGGCGAAATAGTAAACACTGACAAACTCTATCTTCCTGGTCAGAAACGACTAGAATGTTCTCAATTCGTTGTTCTTCGAAACGATTGTACAACTTCTATAATTTGCATTCTATATTCTACAATGCATTCCCTATCAAGTACATATACAGTTCCTATCGCGGATAACGCAAAAAAATTGCCACAAGGTAGAAGTACCAGTTATGATCCAAGCATATCGAAGTCCCTGGATGTTGCTCCGGTGGTGTTTGTATTCCCGGTGCATCCAGTGGAATAGTAGTCGAAGGATTCGATGCAGCCAGCATTTTAATTCACGGGAACGAAACAGCCGCGGCACTAGCTACGGTATCTTTCATTATTTTCACGAACCAGGCACTGTTACTTATCTAGCTGGTTTGTTTCGCGCGAAACTCGTCGAATCCCAAGGACGGTTTTCGATCTTCTTTCAACGTTCTTCGTCTTCGGTGTCCGTTTCTGGAACCGATCCGATTGTCATTCCGCTCCGGTGCAGAGGGACGAGTCCAGGGAAACAATTCTATACGTACCGTTAAAAAGCAACGCAGCCAATCCTTTTACCTGGAGAACTTGGAAAAAACGGTGCTTAACGACACCGAGAGTTGTTCGACTACTTGTCTTTCGCCGTATTTTTCGAGGCAATTTTTCTTCGCATTCGACGATCGTCGTACGAAAGCAAAGTGTTTACGATGGCCATTACATACTGAACAACGAGAGGAAAGCGCAGTTCGATTACGGCATACTTTAGCCGGCTAAAAAATCCTGAAATTTGCTATAAAATGCATTGACCACGATACGTTTACAATTTACACGAATGTGTAAAATTTATAAAAACCATGGGGTATTTATATTTAACCAAGAATTTTTTCGCTACAGTCTAGGATCATTCTGAAATGGGCAGAATCGATATTTTGGTAATCTTTTAGTGTAGAAACGAAAGAGATTCCAGTCCAATCTACAAGGATTTTATCGTCCAATTTGCTCGACCCAGGTCTCGCGAATGGTGAACCGTTCCTTCACGACAGTTTCTACGGTCACATTTTTGTAACTTTATCGGCAAAAAATGCACAAAAGGTTCTCCGCTTTTATCGAGTGAATGTTCCGCATGTACGCGACCGAATCTCATCGTCTTCGGTTTTGGTCCTCGTGTTTGAGTCGCGCTGAAGAGGTTGTTCAACCTGTAAGACCCTTCGTTGCAGGCAAACTCGTTTCAGAACTAAAAATATTTCTGGGTAAAGCTCTGAAATGTTTATTCTTCGATTGGAGAAATTTTCTGAAGTCGCTATTAGTTATAGATTTATATTATTAAAGTCTCCACCAACGATTCTTCGGCGAACAGTCGTGCGCGAACGCGAAACTGTTGCGAACTAATCTCGAACTAAAATAAGATTACGCGGGGAATTTTTCACGAAGATAGTCATAGTATTTACTTTACTGGAAACCGGTCGTTGTCGATCTTTCCACGTTAAAATAACGACATCGCGATGAATCGATCAGTGTGCCCACCACCCGTTAACTGCTAATCAACCGGCTAGTCACTGGACGATCGTCTAGCTAGACCTTTGTCGTTCCTCGGGGCAGGCAGACGTTAACGACAAGAGAGGATCGTCTCTCTCCCAATTTGAACTATCTATCTCAATATTTACCAAACTTTCCTGTCCCCGGAGAGCTTCATCAAACCTTTAAAAACATTTAAAAGGAAATCAAGTCTTCGGTACGTATGATTACAATTATGTTCAACCTCGAGTTATAAAAACGCAAATCTTGTACACTTTGCATAATAAATCCGAGATAACATCGGAAGAAAAATAATCGTTAAAATCATCACTTAACTCGTTTATAGAATAATAATAATAATTTCAGAATTTTCAGCTTCGAAGATGACATCGGGAAGAAGTCTCCTCTCGCTTCCACTGCTTTTGGTGATGCTAGCCTGCGCGACGGGTGAGTACAACTCGTGTTTCACTCATAGTTTCTAATAGTAACTTTACGATAAACAATTCTCAGGTAACCAACCCGCCAGAATAACATGCTACTTCAGCAACTGGGCAATTTATCGACCGGATGTCGGCAGTTACGGAGTGAAGGACATTCCGGGTGATCTTTGCACCCATATTATTTATTCGTTCATCGGTGTAAGCAATGTCACTTGGGAGGTGCTTATCCTTGATCCAGAGCTGGATGTCGATCAGGAGAATTACGTAACCTTTAACAAACTGAGGACCAAATATCCGCACTTAAAGACTTCCGTGGCCGTTGGCGGTTGGGGAGAGGGTGGCAGGAAGTACAGTGCTCTTGTCAGCGTGAAAGAGAGACGCGATACTTTCATCAAGAGTGTAGTCGGTGAGAAATTTTAGAAATATCACGGAGATACAAAAACCTGACTTCTGTGCCAAGTCAATGTACCCGTTTTTTTTTTTTTTTTTTTTTTTTTTTTTTTTTTTTCATCTTTCTTAGAATTTATGCACAAATATGACTTTGACGGTTTCGATCTCGACTGGGAGTATCCTGGTGCCGCTGACAGAGGTGGAAGCTTCTCCGATAAAAACCACTTCTTCTACTTCGTTGAAGAATTAAGACGCGCCTTCGATAAAGAGAAGAAGGGATGGGAACTCACGATAGCGGTTCCGATGGCCAAGTTCCGTCTGGACGAGGGATACCATGTACCAGAATTGTGCCAGTCAGTGGCTACATTTCTCATCGTGTCACGACTTAACTATAGATACTTTCCATAATTGTTATTACCGATTCCATGAAATATGTGTTACAGGAACATGGACGCTATTCACGTAATGTCTTACGATCTTCGTGGCAATTGGGCTGGTTTCGCAGACGTACACAGTCCCCTTTACCGCAGACCGCACGATCAGTGGGCATACGAAAAATTAAACGTCGTAAGGATTCGAAGAAACTTGTACACTTAACTTGGTCCACGTCACGTACACTAAATTCAATAGAAGAGCGTGAATATAGGTAGATAGAAATACAGGTCGATTCTTTGCAGCATGACGGTCTTCGGCTATGGGAGGAAAAGGGCTGTCCCGCTAAGAAACTGATTGTTGGAATACCGTTATACGGACGTACCTTCACCCTCAGTCAAAGTAACAACGATTACTCGCCCGGAACTTACATTAACAAAGAGGCTGGAGGCGGCGCACCTGGGGAGTACACGCAAGCTAAAGGATTTCTCTCTTACTACGAGGTATTATTAGTCGATAATTAATTTTCCGAAATGTCGTGTTTTACTTGTTAGAATTCATTCGATTGAGAAATGCTTTTGAAGATTTGTACTAGATTGCAAGCCCCAGGCAGCAACTGGACCCAGAAATTCGACGATATTGGCAAAGTCCCATACACTTATCAGGGTATTGTTTATGTTACTTATAGTTTCCAGTTAATTTCTGAACGATTTCTTGTTTTACAATCTATAATGCACGACTCGATGATTATAGGAACGCAATGGGTCGGTTATGAAAACGTAGAGAGTGTAAAATACAAGATTGATTTCATTAAGGAAGAACGGTACGGTGGTGCTATGGTCTGGGCCATCGATATGGACGATTTCCAGGGACTTTGCGGTGCGCGCAACCCTCTGATGAACATCATTAACGAAGGGTTGAAAGGATATATCGTAACGGACAAAGACTTTCCTACTACGCCCACGGTAATAAATCCCAGAAATTGTCCCTTTTACCAACAATCATTTACAATACCGTTGATATTATTATATGTTTCTTCAGCCTGAATGGGCAAGACCACCAAGCACTACTTCGTCGGATAATATTCGACCCACTGAGCAACCATCTTCGACTACTTCTGCCGAAAGACCTACCCAAAAACCAGAAGTAACCTCATCATCGGCAATTCCAACTGCCACCACAGAGGACACGAATAAATCGAAACCCACGGAATTACCAGTCGACGATAACGAAGCGGAGAAAATTGTTTGCGAAAATTCTGACAAATTCGTCCCGTCTAAAGACTGTAGTTCTGTAAGTACACGACTAGAAAATTCCATCTGCTTCTATGAATTCTAACTACTTTACTCAAAATGATAATGGTGTCGTTTTTATTGCAGTACTACGAATGCGTTCACGGATCGCCAATGAAGTTCACTTGTCCAAATAATCTAATTTGGAACAGGATTAACAAGGTTTGCGATTGGCCGCAAAATGCTGACCGAGAAGAATGCAGACCTCAATAAGTTCTCGGAGTTTCGGAATCATCATTATTAAAAACAAGTTGACTGAATAAACGCTATTTAATCATTTTAAATGGAATAACAAGATGTTGTTCCGTGTCAAACTGACGAGATTAACTGCAGTGCTACAGAAATTGTCAGACGTTACGAATTTTCGATATCATTCATTTTTAATCATAATCATATGTTGAAAACTGGTATTTTTTTATGATACATTAATACACGTTACCTCTTTTGCAAGAGTGTTAACATTTACTGACAATTTTATATATGATGATACTTCTTACGTGTCTGCATAAATATTGTTTCCCTCAAACTACAATACATACAATCTAAACCATCGACATGGAACACGAATGGTTTCAAGGAACACAAATAAAATTTGCAATTTATATTTATTTTCGATTGATCATTGAAAACGTTATACCCAGTGATTGAACCGATACCGATACGAACACTTTGATACCAAAGTACTCAATGGGAAGTATCGAAACGTATCGAAATGTTAGGTACTTCGTACCAACTTTCAATACCGATACTTTCTTCTTGAAGCGATACCAAACCAATACAAATACTATACTTGATGATTTATTAAAGCGGGTATCGATTATGTTTGATACCAAAATTTTGGTATACTATTTGATACGATGTTATAATTGTCTGGCAGGAATCGATAGTATTGATTCGGTATCATTCCGATCACTAATTATACCCATTCAACACTTTGATTTACAATATCGAATGTGACAAGCTAATTAGAGGTTTCACTCAATTGTTTCCTAATACACACACATACACACACACAGAGAGAGAGACGTACACACAACGCGCGCGCATACACACGCATTAAAGTGGTAGCAATGTATCTTAAACGCTATTCACTATTTAAATTATTCAAATAAAAAAATGAAATGTTACACCTATTATAAAATATCCAATTGGCATTTTAAATAATATTAATACTGTTTTTAATTACATATATGTGTGTGTATATATATATATATATATATATATATATATATATATATTATTATTATTTACTGGTTTTCTGCTTTCTATAAATTAGTTTTAGCAGTTTGAAATAGCACCTTTTGGATTTTTATAAGTGATACGTTCATGCTATACATAATATGCTTTGTTACGAACAAAATTCGAGAAGTATAAAATTTATAAAGTTATAAACCTTTCAGCACTTTTGTGATCTTATGTAATTCTACGTATCATTCAGTTTTTCTTTACTGTCTTTAAAAGTACGATATTCAACTGTATAAGGTGATTGATAAATTATTAAAGTAAAGTTTCAAACTAATAACGGACTCTGTGTTCCATAGTGTGTTTGATTGGAAACAATTCTGATTTTTACACGGGTGTATTGATCAATCATGTACCTTGTAACAAACTTAAAAATTAATGCCTTTACTGTAACTACAGTAATTATTCAAAGATGTTCCCGCACGCGTATGAATATTATTTTAGTATTTTATACGCTCCGTATTTCTACATGTTGAATTTCGCGCGTAATTTCGCCTAGAGTAATTTAGTTCTACAGATCAATTAGTATTATACAAAGGCACGACTTTAAAATGTTTCTATATCAATTTTTTTACTAAATTCATTCCGTAGCACATACGAGTACAGTTGCATCTTCGGTATATTTCTAATCATGACAATTGTAACAGTAGTTCTTGGAGAAATGAAATACACAATTGTTTAGAATAAACGCACTCGATATGTACTTGGAGTGATACTTTTAGGTGATGATTAGAACAGCGTCGGATGTCAAAATTATAAGTCATGATCTCTATTAATTACTCAGGTCAATGCACTATTTGAAGAATGTTTTTCATATACGCTATACTATACGTACGTTGTAAAGTTACTTAACAAAAATAAGTGTAAGAAATAACGACCATGTAGTGCAATAATATTTTCTCGTGCAAGTAGTCATTTATGATCTAGAATCAAGCGTGGATAGATACTATTTTCCATACTGTATTTAAAGTGATATTTTTATGATTCAAAGTGCACTATATTCACATAAATCTTGCACTATGTAATTATCAAACACGTGCTTGAATTATCTGAGCACAGGAGCTTAGAAAATTATGATTGATTCAATTATACTCAGTACACCCTGAATACAAAGAAACATTGTTACCTTTTTGGGCAGTAAATTGTGCAGTATATTAGTACCATTTATTGTACAATTCATGCATTTTTTTTATTTAATAAGTAATTAAATAATAGAATGAAATATACTAAATCAATTCCATGATATGTTTCTCTTTCAAAATATGACTTATTATTATGAATGTTATTTGTAAATCATCGAATGCCCATCTTACTTCTTATCTTCATTATTATGTAACAACAAAGTTCCACCAGTGATACTATTCTGACTACTCCAACAAATGAATGAACTAGAAAATATGTGTACTGAATACTTAAAAATGTTTCCAATATATAAGAAATGTGAACACATAATTTAGACTCATTATTGTTACAACAGGTTTCAGTAGAACAATTATTGTACGCAGATTTTTCTATTTAAAAGAAAAAATCAAATGACAGTTCAATCTACTGATTGTCCATAGTAGATCCCTCTGACCGGTATTATTTTTATTACACAGGGGAAATCTGTAGTCCATTGTGAAGACGTCTTCCGCCACGCGACCGAATTGCATAACAACATAATCAACTGTAACACAAAATTCAGACAAATAGTTACAGTAAACGAAGTATTGATTGCCACTTTTGTTTAGGAAAAAAAAAACCAAAAAATTTCCAGCTATTATTCTTGTCAAAGAAAATGCTCTTCATATCTCAAGTATGGAAAATTAGCGATTCTGAAGTACGCAAAACATTTCTGTACATTTATATTTTATTCAATTGTTTTAATACAAACCATCGCTATCGTGCACAACTTGAAAATTTTTTACTGAAGCTTGCGTCACTCGTCCATGGAAATTAAGCACGTACGACTGTGTGTCGTCATTCCACACAGGAGTCTTATTGTGCAATTCTATTAAATTGTCCATATTTTTTGTTTTCCAACGTTCTGTATAAACAGCAGACAGAAAAAATAACGATACGTTCATCTGATACTGTAACAAGTAGTTTACTGGAGGAACATAATATGTATTAATAATTTGAACATACCGAGCAACGTTTCAGATTCATCTCTTGGACAAATCTCAACCCTTTTCTGATCTGTTGTCATTCCAGGAATAATTACCGTCATTTTACGTGGCCCTTTAAATCCTAATACATTAGTGTCGTATATCACTGCCGCCAATTCTTGTCTAGGATTGAAGCGTTCATCTCTTTTGTCATCCTTTATTAGTGAATATCCATTATCGTAAACTGTGAATTGTGTACCCAAGAGATTTGATCTTAATTTTCCAATATAAGACTCTCCTCCTCTTGAAAGATCCGTGGGATCGGTCGAAATTAGGTAATTACTTGTCGTACTTTTTTTTCTTTTCCGGCCCGCCAATAAGAAAATCTGTTAAAAAATCAATGTTATTTATAGATACCACTCAAGTGTGAGAACAAGCAAAATTGTATAAAATCAATGCATACTTTTTTCCCATAATCGCGTTCTAAATGTAGGAAATAAGTTGGATACAGTCCGCGATCCATACCCTTTCTATCACGAGTTATTCTACACTTGTAATGCATTTTTTTGTTTGCTGGTTGCAGCACAAAATGCTCAATATTTCCTTCCACGTTCCCTTCTAATTCCGGACTCTAATGTAATAACATACTCATTAATTTAAATACCATTAATTGCTAATTATCATTAATTAGCAATACAGTCAGTTTCTTTTACTCACCGAAGAATTATTCTCCCTATTGATAAATGCATTAGTACCATCTGAAGGTGCTACTCTAAGGGGTGAAGGAAATGGTAAAGATTCCAAAGGAGAATGTATGTCTACAGGCGATGATTCCTCGTCTGCACCATCGGTAGTTTCCATGCCATGGTAATACCCTCCTTCTGCACTTACTTCTATTTGGAATTAATTATTGTTCATACGTTCTGCTTTTATGACCAATTAAAGACAGACTTCTATTTAATCAAATGTTATTAACTTAACATACCGTTCATTCTTGCTTCTATGTCTTTATTTTCTGTAAATGTGTTGAGCTCAGAATTCGTTTGTGATATATTAAACTGCAGTGGTCCATCATATCCTGAAGAAAATAAAATCTTCAAATGCACAGTGCATACTTTATAATATATACTTTTGAATAGCACCTCGAAATTACCTCGAAGTTCCTTGTTTGGATTCATCCATTTGGTAGAGTGACTTGTAAGTTGTGTACTTGATATGTTAGATGCCTGTACCATTCCACCAGCACCGCTTTGTCTTTTCTGTTTCATTTTTTGGGCAATCAGTTGCCTCTATAATCAAATATCAAATGGTCATATTAAATGTCACAATATAAAATAAAAGAAACAGTAACTCCATAAAAAATATTGGTAATTTTTACTATTTTGCTATTATACATTATGTCATACAACAGAAATATTAAATACCTTATGAAAAAAGTACAAAATTTCTCCAATTAATACTTATTTTTGCTAATGACTTACTACAATTAACTCTAAGAATGTGTGCTCATAATAAGAAATTCTAACAATGCATTAGTTCCTTATAGGACAGAGAAAATTCAATGAATATTTAAACCTGACCTAGTTTTAATTCATTCATAATAAATCGCGCCCATTACGTGTATCAGAAAGTCGAATTAATTTGGAACATTAACAGAATATTTGCGAAGCAGAATGTTATACATCTAACATACAAAACGTTACAAAACACTGTTATCTTTCGAAACATTTATATATGCACCATGGGCTTGTAATCGAAAGAAAAGTCAGTCTCATAAATTATACAATATTAAGGTCTTCCAAACTGAATTGTATCCGGTACCTGTTGTTCGAGTTTCTGTTGTCTTAAATCTAGAGATGTCATTTTGTCGATACGTCTTAATAGGAACTGTCATATGCAATTGATTTTCACTGAACAATTCAACATGTCAGAAGAACCAGTTTGTTTACACCAAACATGTTTCGTCGCTTATAGCTACCTAGGCAACCATACGAGAGAAAACCCATAGTCATAGAAATATAGACTAATATAGACTGGAGGAGAATAATGTAGAATCACCGACTAGGTATAGAATAGACCTATCATCCATTCCTTTTTTCTGTCCCCACGTTCATTTTAGTGTCAGTACCCGACGTTACCGATAAAGCATGAATTCTGAGTATTATTAGCACAAATGAAGTGTTATATATTCCATTCATATTACGTGTATCTGTATGATTGCACGAGAATAAAAGTATCCGATGCTTCAGTTTAAGGTTAAGGGATAAATATGACAGTCATGAAACATGAAACGGAAAAGTAAATATTTTTACACTTAACTACAAGACAATTTATTCTAAATGCATCGTTAATGGACATTTTACTAATGTTACTTTGTATATGTTCTTGTTTTATTCGTATTTATATCTTGCTTTACATTTGTATATTTGTAACAGATAAATTCAGAATAGATGTAGATTCATAAATAATTTATTAAATCTACCTTTTGGCCGGCGGCTTACAATTTCCCTTGCGGG